TGAAAGTTATTTATATTTATTGTAAAGCTGTGCAAATGACTTGATTTCACTACCAAAAATCAATATGTCAAACTTTAAAAATCGAACTGGCTTTGTAGCAAAGAAATTTGGGGTTATAGGACTGCAAAAATCTGGGAAGCACCAAAAAAAACTGGAATGTGCGCCTAACCTTCATCCAAAATCGTCTTAATCCGCGAACAGAAATGCTGGATAATACCGACAATACTGTAGTTACAGAAATGAAGCCAAAATCACGATTTTCTATGCAAGATCGTAGTTTGACGTTGGTTTCACAAGATAATCAATTCTGATAGACGTTTTGTGTCTTGAATTAACTATCGAATACCATGAATACAAATAGTTGGTACATACCAGTAGACAACCTACCTGGAAAAAAGTCCGTATTACTGTGCGGTCTGCTGCAGATTGACTTTGTTTACCCAAATGATTTAATTTTACCCTCCAAAATCTTCAAGTCGTCATCTTCTAAAGAAAGTTTCAATTTTTTTTTCAGATGGTTTCTTGCCTCGACCATGGGAAACCCAAGAAAACACTGGACCTGTTGATGGTAGTGCTACCCCGATGCGACCTACTACTACTCCAGAAAACCAATTCCCCACGCTTGTTCCTGAATCTTCAGCAACTTCACCCGTAATGCCTGAAGCCATCGAAGCACCAGATGCACTCGAAACAAAAGGTAGCGCACCACCCTAGATCTGTCAAGATCTTCCAATTGTGTCTTCTCAGTGTTTCTAAACTTCCAACCAATTTAGATCGACCACGACAACTTCCCGGAATGGTAGAGATGTCTCATCACCCCTCATAACTACAACAAAGCGACGATGATGTGAACATAGTGAAGCCTGTACAAATCTTTGTTTGGTAGGAACGGGAATGGAGCACATAACGAATACTTTACAAAAGAGTATGAGATTGAACAATAAACTCAGATAACAACATTAGACCACGACAATCCAAGAATACAGTTTTAATAACAAAGGTCAGAACAACGACAGATCTAATCATGTCTTGCTCATAGATACAGTACAGTAGACAATAAGCACAGCTGATGAACAGAACTAGAGATCCATTGCTCTCCCCTTCATATAAGATTCCAACTCCGCATCCAGTTCAGCTACGGATTTCTGCGGCCTGCGCTCCCTTCGTCCAGCTCCTCCGCGACCACCGACACGTCCTCTTCTTGGCTTATCATCGCCAAGACGATCCAAAAATGAAGACGAAACAGCACCGGCCGAATTCCTTCTTCAAATATGACAATGATTGAGTGGCCATGTAAAGAGAAAAATAAATGCACCTGAACCTCTTTTGAATTCCGCGGGAACCTTTGAGTGGAAGTTTGCTAAGGCGACTTTCGATGCCATTAGCCACAGCCGTGCCACCATCGACTATCAGCATTTTGATCAGTTTACCTACAAAGTTGAGGACAATGCAAACTACTGTCAGAGCCTAGATGTTTTTTTTTTGTTCGAATATAATGTAAACCAAACCACCAAGAATAAGATAAAGTCCATATTTATTTATTGATTTCCCATGCTCGACTGTCGCTTAATCTTGGCAGCTGAGTTATCTTGATTGGTTTGCTTCAGCTGAATGACCAAGATTGCACAGCAGTATTTATTTGAAAGAGTGACGTTTCAGCGGCTTCGTCTTCAAAGTCCAAAAAATCAAATCACATCATAACCTCCACCAAAGACCGCGACAATCACAGACAAAAATTTATCCTTTAGAAAAGCAAGAGCGCAGTCAAAACTGCAAGACTATGCGGACAATCGTCTGCTTTGTTGAGCATTAGACTGACCTTGTAGTTTTGAATGCGCTCTTGCTTTCCTAAAAGACTAGTGAACCAGCAATGTAAAGGTGCTACATTTGCACGCGCTTCGGGAACCGCTCGGTTCCCGCAATTGGAAGATTTTTGAATTGGCGT